GGTCTCGCTGCCCAGGCGGGTCTCGAACCCGCGGGCTCAGGCAATCCACTCACCTCAGCCTCCCAAAGGCGCGGGATTACAGGCTGAGCCACTGAGCCCGGCTGGACATTAAGTTTCAACATGAGCTTTGAAAGGGCAAACATTCAAACCATAGCAGGAACCCAGAATCTCTGACTCTAAGATCTATTCTCTTTTCAATTAAGATATTTGAGAGGATGATGCTCCTACGATCTTATATAGTTCTTGAAAAATCTATATTTTAGTTAGAAAAAACTTAGATTGAAGGTGATATTCAAAATATTTGGCACTCTGTGTGGCATAGGCAATGATCAGTCAGAATGACCAGTATTGCCATTTCTGGGTGTATCAGCTGCATGTTGACCTATTAGAAAGAGCTCTCAACTTGTAAACAAAATATCTGGTTGAAGTTCTAACTCCTACTTTGGACAAGGCATGTAAACCTTCTTCAAGTGTTCTTTATCTGTAAAATGGAGTACCTACTCCCACTTGACTTCAAGAAATGGTTGTAAGAAAGAGAGAGAGAGAGAGAGAGAGAGAGAGAGAGAGAGAGAGAGAGAGAGAAAGAAAGAAAGAAAGAAAGAAAGAGTTGTAAGGGTGACAAGAGTGAGACTCTGATGAAAGAAAGAAAGAAAGAAAGAAAGAAAGAAAAGAAAGAAAGAAAGAAAGAGTTGTAAGGTCCAAATGATATGAAGTGTGTAAAAGCATTTTGTAAATTTCTGAAGCAAAATATCATAAGCATAAGGATTTATTTATTGTCATATCCCAACAGGGAGCTCAGATTCTGGCTAATTCATGTAGATGAATTAAAGCATATTAGTTGCCAGTTAACAAAGACTCCCACAAGTGTGTAAGCAGAATTTTATTTACCCATAGGAGACCAAAGACAGCTTAGTTTGTAGGCCAAGGGAGTGAGGTTGGGATCATTTGCCAAATGGGAAGTAAAGCCCATCTCTTTGCTTCCCCTTGTTTGGAAGATTATCCTAGATGACTTTTTAAGACTTGTTTTGCTGTTGTTCTTCCTGGATATTAATGGTAACATAAGAGAAGAAGGAAGATCCTTCTCAGACAGAAGATGACATCTTCAAGTTGTTTTTGGTTAATTACCCATTATCTTCTGTGATTTGGTCTTATGTATAGCTGACTCTTGAAAAAAGTAAATTGACCAGGCTAATACTTTTTTTTAAATTATTTTATTCTTTTTTTTTTTTTTTTTTGAGCTAGGGTCTCACTCTGTCACCCAGGCTGGAGTGCAGTGGTGCCATCGTAGCTTACTGCAGCCTTGACCTTCTGGCTCAGGAGATCCTCTGGCTTCAGCCACCTGAGTAGTGGCTAAGACTAAGAGCCACCATGTCTGGCTTTTTGTTTGTTTGTTTGTTTGTTTTCTTAGGCAAAGTCTTATTATGTTGCCTGGGCTGGTCTCAAACTCCTGGGCTCAGGCGATCCTTCTGCCTTGGCCTCCCAAAGTGCTGGGATTACAGGCATGAACCACCGCACCTAGTTTATTTTATTCTTACTTGTGGTTACAATCACATAACATTAAATTTACCATTATAAACATTTTAAGTGTACAGTTCAGTAGTGTTAAGTATGTTCACATTGTTGTGCAACATATCTCTAGAATGTTTTCATGCTGCAAAACTGAAACTCTGTTCATTAAACATTAATTCCCCCCTCATCCCAGCCCTTCGCAACTACCTTTCTACTTTCTGTTTCTATGAATTTGACTAGTTTAACTTCCTCGAATGAGTGGACTCGTATAGTATTTGTCTTTTTGTGACTGGCTTATTTCACCTAGTATAATGTCCTTGAGGTGATTTGTGTTGTGGCATGTGCCAGACACTAGGCCAGTGTCTTCACTGGTGGTCTTTGATTGGCATGAGTGAGTGACAGCCTGGGAAGCCCATTTGTACCTGGTGCTTTGTTACCTATAAGATGGAAGCACACCTAGACCCAAGTACTTCTTTGTTCTTTATGTGGCAGCTAGATGTCCTGATTATACCCTGGCCATTTTCTAACCAGATTCAAGTTAGAGTTCATGTCATCTGCCAGACACCCCCCAAAAATGTTTCTTAAATCCATTTTAGTAGGCAGGTTTAAATAAACTTTCTCTACTAATTATGGCTAATCAGAAATTCTACAACTATATGTCTGATCATATAAGGTCATTAGAAGCATCAGCCCTATTTTGATTTGACTTTATGAACCTTCATTATGCCTACTTTATGTATACTGACATCCCTCAGTTCCAGGAACCCCTGAGAAGACCAACATCTGCAGATGCTCAAGTCCCCAATATAAAAAATGGTGTAATAGTTATATAACCTTTCCATATACTTTAAATCATCTCAAAATTACTTATAATACCTAACAGAATGTAAATGGTATGTAAGTAGTTGTTATACTGTATTGTTTAGGGAATATTGACAAGAAAAATGTCTATACATGCTTGGTACAGATGCAACTATTCATTGTTTTCCTGAATATTTTTGACTCAAGGTTGGTTGAATCTATGGATGAGGAACCCGTTGGAATGGAGGGTCAACTCTGTGTGTGTGTGTGTGTGTGTGTGTGTGTGTGTGTGTGTGTGTAAAGTCAAATAAACTTTAGAAGCTAATTTGTTGTGTTCTATTTCTATTTGTATCTTTCAGTGAAACCTGATCCTCCACATATTAAAAAACTCTCCTTCAAAAATGGTGACTTATACGTGCAATGGGAGAATCCACAGAATTTTGTTAGCAGATGCTTGTCTTATGAAGTAGAAGTCAATAGCAGCCAAACTGAGACACATAATATTTTCTCCGTAAGGTTTTTTTTTAAGATTATTATTTTTATTTGGATATTTTTCTTTCACTTGAGTTTCTTACATTGAAATATCAACGAAATGTAACTCTTGCATTTGTCACCTTATAATGTTAATGATGATAATGAAACTTCTTGTCTGAAATAGGACATTATGGAAGAGAGTTTATGGTAGCATTGGCTGCAAGGTTCAAGCCATTCATTCATTCATTTGCTCAACAAATTTTTATTCAATGTCTATTATGTACCAAGCGTTGTTTTATGTGCTGGAGACAAGGCAGTGAATATAACATCTGATGGACAAGTTGTTTTTTCCCTTATGAAACTTACATAATAGAAAATGAGTATGTAAATGAGGAAGCTGATTTCAGAGCATGAATTTTGTGAAGAAAATAAAATGGAGTGAGGTAGTAGAGTGACTGGGAGGGCCTGAGGGACTATTACGTAGGGAAGTCATCTGAAGTGATGACATTTGAGATGAGACCAGAGTGGTGAGCAGGAGCTAGCCATGAGAAGCTCTAGGGGCAGAAGGGACAGCAGATACAAAGACTCTGAGGCAAGAGTGAGCTTGTCATGTGTAGAAAACATAAAGGAAGCTCCTGTGGCCAAAATATAGAAGAAAGGATATCTAAGCAATAGGCAGAGATCAGATTTTGCAGACTCTTGGAGGATCCAGTTTTCTTAGAGTTTATAGCAACTAAAGTCAAATTTTGAGTGGTCAGTATTTGTTGGATTATGTACATTTATGCTATTCAGAATCTAATGCAAAACATGCTAATTAGAGGTACCCTGGGATATTGACCAGAATGTGGCATGACCTCAGGGCATCAGTCCCATTGTTCTGCTTTAGAATAGTGGTCACAAACTTGGGCTATAGGCCTTCTTATTTGAACTGCAAACAAAGTGGGGTTCTGTTTTTTTGTTTTGTTTTTGTTTATTCAATTTGAATTTTTGGCCCAGATTTTTAATCATGGTAACTTTAGAATTTATGTCCATAAGGTGGCGCCTCAAGACCACAGGGACTGTACCACTCACTTGTTTGCTACCTGCCTCTGGGCCCTTTGTGCATTTGAGTTTTAGAAATTAGAAGCTATGTGTGATTTATATTGACTTTTAAAGGAGCCTAGCATGTTCCGCGTGGGAAAATTCCTTGGTTCAGTTGTTTTAACGCATCATGGAACTTTCAAAATGCTTACTAAAATAAGCCAGTGTTGACAGGCTATAACTCCAGAGGGAGTGGCCTGGTCCCCCGCAGAACAGAGCTCTTCTGGTCACTGCAGATGAGTCTGTCTGCTGAAATACAGTAAAGTAATCATTATTAGTTCCAGAAATTACAGTTTCCCCATAAAATGCCACAAAGAGAAAAAACAAAGGGCTTCTATGTGAAAGGGGACTGGTGGTGCTTGAATTGACAACAGAATGAGTTATCAGAAAGTTAAAATATACTTAGTGACTCCAGCGCTTACTATTCTCTCTTATCTGAAATCCTGAGACACACATGCTACTTATTACTCATTTTGCCACTCAATTATTTTCTGCTGTTTAACCTAATCACATATGAGGACTGACAATTAAGTTTATGAACTCATCCTAGAACAAGTACTACATAATTCATTGCTGAATATCACTATGGTCACTTTCAAAATACTTCCCTTGGGAAGCTATGCACCAATGCCAGTGCCTAGTCCACTCGTCAAAGCAATTTTGGAACTCTTTTTCTGGAATGAGCATCAGAACTGTCATCATATTACCCTTGATGTCCTGAATATCATCAAAATGTCTTCCTTTCAATATTTCCTTTATCTTCAGGTAAAGAAATAAGTCATTGGGGGCCAGATCAGGTGAGTAGGGAGGGTGTTCCCAATACAGTTATTTGTTTACTGGCTAAAACCTCCCTCACAGACACTGCTGTGCAAGCTGGTGCATTGTCGTGATGCAAGAGCTCCTTCAGGACCATTTTTGCATACACCTTTCTCATGCCAAGGTTTTCAGCTAAGATTTTTCTAACTGTTTCTGTACCAATGTTTATTTGGTCTGCTATGCTTCTCACAGTCTACTGATAATTTTGACACACAATTTGACGAATTTTTGTTTTCACCAATTCTGCTCTTTATTGACCGTTCTGACCTCTCTTCATCAGTGATGCTTTCTCTCCCTTCAGAAAACATTTAACCTATTTATACATTGCTGTTTTTTTTCATAGCATTACCCCCATAAACTTGGACTAACATGTCCCTGATTTCACTTCCACTCTTACCAAGTTTTACAAGAACCTAATGTTTGTTCCTTGCTGTAATCCAAGCTCTGATATTCTTGTGATGGCACACAGAAACATACGACAACAATAATGAACACCTCTTGGCAAGACACCGCCACATGCCAACACAAGCACAGCTGTAAGGAACTGATAAACCATGGTTATGAAACCTTACCAAGTTGTTTGTACAGTGCTATTAACGTAAACTCACAGTGGCAAGCTCGCGAACTTAATGGTCAGACTTCGTATATGTTTTTTCTCTTCACTGAAAATATAAACTCCTCTAGGGAAGAGTCAGATTGTGTCTACTTTGTGCTGTTCCTACTACTAATAGCAGGTGACATGTATTAAATAACTGTGCACAATTATTTTAATAAGCACTATGTCTGAATTGTCTAATTGGGTCTTCACAACAACCCTAAGAATCTAGGTCCTGTTATTTTGTCTCCGTTTTACAGATGAGAAAACTTATTACCCCTAAGGCCACATTTCTAGTAAGTGGTGGAATCAAGACTGAAATGAAGTTATTACTCCAGAGCTTGTATTCTTTTTTTTTTTTTTTTTTTTTGAGTTGGAGTCTCTGTCACCCAGACTGGAGTGCAGTGGTTGCTCCCAGCCACCACAGCCTCGACCTGCTGGGCTCCGGCGATCCTTCCGCCTCAGCCTTCCAAGTAGCTGAAACTACAGGCGCACGCTACCATGCCTGGCTAATTTTTTGATTTATTGTAGAGATGAGGTCTCGCCAAGTTGCCCAGGTGGGTCTCGAACCCACAGGCTCAGGCAATCCACTCACCTCAGCCTCCCAAAGCACGGGATTACAGGCTGAGCCACTGAGCCCAGCCAGAGCTTGTATTCTTTTTTTTTTTTTTTTTTTGAGTTGGAGTCTCGCTCTGTCGCCCAGACTGGAGTGCAGTGGCCGCTCCCGGCCACCGCAGCCTCGACCTACTGGGCTCCGGCAATCCTTCCGCCTCAGCCTTCCAAGTAGCTGGAATTACAGGCATGCGCTACCACGCCCAGCTGATTTTTTGATTTATTGTAGAGATGCGATCTCGCAGCCCAGGCGGGTCTCGAACCCGCGGGCTGAGGCAATCCACTCACCTCAGCCTCCCAAAGGCGCGGGATTACAGGCTGAGCCACCGAGCCCGGCTAGAGCTTGTATTCTTAACCATGGGAGACCACTTCAGTACTTCCTCTTTATAGCCATGGCCACTGTTTAGTAAATATTTATGATGTAGTACAAAGATACTCTTTTAGTGCTTCTTATATAGTCGCCCATAACAACCTCTTTTAACGTACATTTTATTGAAAAACTAAGACTCAGAGAGGTTAAGTAATTTGCTACAGGCCACATAGCTAACAAGTCAGTATGACTTCAAAGGTTGGTTGGTCTCAACATATTAAGCTTTGACCAAGAATACTTAGTATAACACCATGTGCGCAGTCATCAAGTAATCAATTCTTACTGAGTTGAGTTACTTCTTTTTTCTTCTGAACTGATTTGATTAGGTAGATAACTTCCACAGTTATCTACCTAATCAAAACTAAACTCTGTACACTTGAGTTTAATATTCTCCTTCTTAGCAGATGTTCACCAGCTGCTTCCTCCCCCAGAGTGTCATCAGCTTTTTTGTACTCACTGATTTGAACTCTGCTGGTTGAACCCTTTTCTTTCTTTTTTTTCTTTTCTGTTTTTGCAAGACTATTTGAGGAATTATTTTGCCTGGTGTTTCAATTAGGAGGGGGAAGTAAGCCGGAACATGAACTGGTACCATCACATGGGAGCTGTGGTCAGAGGTAACTCATGACAGAATAATGAAGTAAGGAATGACTTGTCTTGGACTTCCACTCCCACCCCTGCAAACAGTCTGCATAGTGTTCTGTGCCCTGGCTTTCCTTCTCTTAGAGTGATCTAGAGTAGCCAATAAACTATGCAAGGGGATTTGCATTTGAGCAAGAGCCCAGAGACTCACATCTATGCATTGAAATGTTGACTTTGGAATTTATATATATGGGAGATGGTCCAGGGAGGAGTGACTTCAATTTGCAACTTGATCCCTCAAGTGGTAGTTGACACTTGTGATTCCCCAGCAAGCCTATGATTATAAATGGCCAACAATAGGATACAGTAGCCCCTGAGTGGCCTTTTCTCTGCCACTGTATGACATATTAAAAAGATATCTCTTCATCATTTGGTTGGTCTTTCAGCTCTTCACAAATGCTGGTAGGATCCATTTAGTGAATGACATTGAATGCCAAAATCAATGACCATGTTTTCTGGTCTTTGTTCCATGTTTAAACATCTCTTAATAGAAGTTGATTATTTGAACCAAGCTACAGATTTTCATGTGCTGATATTTTACTTAGTTTTTAAAATATTTGCACTTAAGGAACTGATTACTTTCTTTACATCAGACAGCAAGTGACATATTGTGTGGAGGAGAATTTTGTATTATACTTTCTTTTCTCCAACCCAGTCATTTTTTATAACTTACACTCTTAACAAGAGAGACTGGTCTTTCTCTCCCTCCCTCTCTCTCTTCTCTCTTTCTTTTTTAAACCCCTTTTTATTGATGTATAATACACTATAGAAAAATTACACAAATTATAATGCTCACCTCAAAGATTTTTCACAAATGATTACCACAAATGATTTTCCAACGATGTAACCAGCACCCCAGAAGCCTCCTCATGACCCCTTTCAGTCACTGCTCTCCCAAATAACAACTACTATCCTGACTTCTAATCTCATAGATTAATTTTGTTGCTATTTCTAAAACTTTATATAAATGGAATTATACAAAATATACATTGTTGTGTATGTCTCCCTTCTTTCACTCATCATTACATTTATGAGATTCACCAGTATTGTTTCCTGTAGTTGTAGATGGTTCATTCTCATTGCATTCATTCTATTGTGTGTATATATCACATTTGATTTATCCATTCTTCCATTGATGGGATAGTTCACAGTTTGGGATTTTATGAATAAAGTTTTTATGAACATCTGCGTACTTGTTTCTTGGTACACATGTGTATACATTTCTGTTGGGTATATATATATGCATGTATAGGTTATAGGGCTACATATGATTGTCTACAGTAGATAATAACTGTTTTTAAAAAATAGTTGTGCTAATTTACACTACTAAGCAGAAATGGAGAGTCCTCACCAACACTTATTATTGTCTGGTAAGTATGTGAATTGTTACCCTGTTGGTATAATTTGCATTTCCCTCATGACCAATGAGATTGAAAACTTCTCATATGTTAATTATCTTTTGTATATTCTCTTGTGAAGTGCCTGTTCAAGTCTTTTGCCAATTTTTCTACTGTCTTTTCCTTATTCATTTTTAGGGATATATATATATCTCCTTCGTCAGAAATTGCAAATATGTTATCACACTCTATGCATTGCTTATTTCTCTAATAGGTTGTTATTTGATGGACAGAAGTTTCACATTTTTATGTAGAAGACTTCATAAAAATTTTCCCTTTATGATTAATGTGAAGTATTTTTGGTTCTGTTTAAGAAATGTTCTCCTTCTTCAAGATCATGAAGATGTCCTCCTATGTTTTCATCTAAAAGCTTGCTGTATTTACTTGTTCATTTATTTTGTCTTTCATATTTAGATTGGCAATATATCTGAAATTGATTTTGTGAATAGTGTGAGGTAGGGGGTCAAGCTTCTTTTTTTTCCTGGATCTGTGATTGGCCCAGCACCCGTTATTCAAAAGGCCTCTTTTCACTGTGCCTGGTCCTCTTTTAATGGGATAGAGGGAAAGTGTCTTAGAAATGGCTAAGTGATATAAAACGTGTTTCTTTTTTTTTAATTTGAGACTCATTCTTTTATTTTTAAGATTGAAGAGGCTAAATGTCCAACTTCAGAATTTGAGAGAAACGTAGAGGTCAGTAAATTCAACTTTAGCTATTTGGGCTTAGACTCAGAGCAGTTGGGGTTGGGCCAGTATGAGCATAGTGTAAATTTGAGCTGCTTTGAGAAAAACAGACTACATTGTTCTGTAGGTTATTGTCAAATTTTTTTCATGAGTCAAATTCATATAATTTGAATTCTAATCTAAGTCTTAATCATATACAGAATTTGGCAGACAATTATATTATGATTCAATAGCAAAGAAAGAGAATAACTAGTAATATTCCTTGTGTGTTTTTATTTTATATCTAAGGACACAATTTGTTTCATGGTCCCTGGTATGCTTCCTGATACTTTGAACACAGTCAGAATAAGAGTCAAGACAAATAAGTTATGCTATGAGGATAACAAACTCTGGAGTAATTGGAGTCAAGCAATGAGTATAGGTAAGAGAACAGGATTTCATTAAAATTTAAAACATCTATGTATGGAAACTAAGCTGAAGCAGAAAATAGACTGGGGAAAGGGACTGTCATACTTTCTTGGCATTAGCCAAAGAATACTTACAATTGAAATTTATCTTCTGTTTAACCACTGTTAAGTCACCCAGGGTTGATTTACAATATATAGCTCTTTGTAAAACCACAATCCAAATGGTGTTAACATCCACTCTGTCCCATCTCAATCTTTATTAACAACCTGAACAAAAGTATAGAAAATGGGCATAAAATCTGCAGATTTTGCAATGCTAGAGGACTGTTTCATGTGCTGGTTGACAAAGTCAAGAGTGGAGCAATGACCTTGTTGGTATTTAACAGAGATAAATCTGTATCTAGGTTTGAAAAGAAATCATTTATTAATTGAAAGGCTGAGCAAGCCAGGCTCAAGTACAGGATTGGAAAGATCTGTGCTTTATGGATATGTGTTTTGTGGGATGACATTCAGGGCTTTATGTGACTTTTTGTAAGCTCAGTGTGACTCAACGCTGCAATTGTAAACATCCCTAAAAGACATATGCAGTTGTAGACAGCAGTGATAGTGTAGCACACAGAACAAGGGAATGCTGCACGGTGAGGCAAAGTGGTTTGGCCACATCAGAAGTTTGCAGTGTTCCATTCTGAGCACTACATTGAAGGACATGCATTGGCAGGATGGAATGTATTCCTGAAAGGGTATTCAGGAAGTGGAAGAATCTCAAAACTTGGCAAGGAACAGTAACCTTGAGAAGTCATGATTGCTGAATTCTAATATTTGAAGTATTGTCATTTAGAAGAGGAAATAGGCTTTCCTTTTTGTGGCTCTGGGGACAATATAGAACCCACTTAAGCACTTTTCAAACAGCTGTCTAAGAGTCAGAGGGACAGGTTGTTGGGGTAGTCAATTCCCTGTTAGTTGGAAGGCTGAACAAGTTCTGTGCCAAAGGCGGTTGTATTTGTTTATGGATTGTTGCATAACAAATTAGTCCAAATTTTAGTGGCTCAAACCAACACACATTTATCATCTCACAGTTTCTGTGAGTCAGGAATCTAGCCACAGCTTAGTTAGAGGTTTCATGTGGTTGTAGTCAAGCTGCAACAAGAACTGCAATCTTATCTGAAGGCTTGACTGGGGCTGGAGAATTTACAAGGGAGGACCCAGATAAACCAGAATTATTTTTTGGAGGGTGGGCCCCTATAGTTAGTGCAGGCCTGCCCTGCTAGTTAAGTGTTCTAGGAGCCCATTGGCATCTGTGTACCAGCCAGCATTGTTACGAGAGGCTACATTTGGCTTCAGTGAATTTTTATTTTTTTGAGATTCTTTCAACACATTTGCCCATTTCATGATAGGGATTTACGAGTGCACCTACCCGCACTGTGCTGAGTGTTAAGCAGTTTTTGACCAAAAACCGTATGACTTCCGTGCCCCACCCTCCCTGTTCACCTCGACTTTAGTGACCTTTTTTTTAATTAGCCTGGATGAAAAAAGTTCTCAAAGGGAAATATTTTGCCGATGTGGAAGAGGTGAAACAAAAACCTGAAGAAGCAGTAAAAGACATCAAAATAGATGAGTTCAAAAACTGTTTTGAGCAATGAAGAAAGTGTCCCAGTAGGTGTATTGCCTCAAACAGAGAGTACTTTGAAGGTGACTGACCTTTAAACATGTAAAAATAAATACACAATGTTTTAATAAATTCCAGTTTTTTTTCCAGTTCCTCTTGTACTTCTAAGCTCATTCATGTAGTTGTTGGAAAGCCTCAGTTTCTTACTGGTTGCTGGATGGAGGCTATCCAAGGGTTGAATTGTGTCTCCCCAAAAGATATGTATGTTCACAAGTCCCAGTCCCCAGTACCTGTGGATGTGGCCTTTCTTGGAAATAGGGTTTTTGCAGATGTAATCAAGTTAAGAAGTTATACTGGATTAGAGCGAACCGTCAGTCTAATGACTAGTATCCTTATAAGATGAGGAGACGATATGTACAGACTCACAGACACCCAGGGAAGAAGGCCATGTGAAGATGGATGCCAAGAGTGGAAGGATGCAGCTACAACTAAGAAACAACAAGGATTCTCGAGAGCCTCCAGAAGCGAGGAAGAAGCAAGGAGGGATCCTTCTCTAGAAACTTCAGAGGGCACCTAGCACTACTGACACCTTGATTTGGGCTTCTAGTTTCCAGAACTGTGAGAGAACAAATTTCTGTTGTTTCAAGCCACCATGTTTGTGGTCATTTATTAGGACAACCCTAGGAAACGAATACAGAGGCTTCCCTTAGTCCCTTGTCACTTGAACCTCCCCACAGGGCTACCTCCCAACATGGAGGCTGGTTTCTCCAAGTGAGTGATCAAGAAAAAGTGTGAGAGAACACCCGATATGGAAACTATGGTCTTTTATAACCTAACCTTAGAAATGACATCCATCACTGCAGCTGTTTTGTTATTTAGAAGTGAGTCCATTAGTTTATCCCATGCTCAAGGGGAGGGGATTACACAAGGGTGTGAATATCAGGAGGCAGGAATCATTTGGAGTAAGCTTAATGGCTGCCTAAAACAATGGTGCTAGGCTCTGATGACACTTTCTAGATGTTTATGCCCTAGTGGGAAAAATGAATGTATAAATAGACAAATGATATCCTGTGTGTTAGGTATAGCAAGGTGGGCTTTGGAATTGGACAATGGAATTGGAATTTGAGGCCTGACTCCATCGCTTACCAAACCTTTCTGGATGACTTTCTAAACCTCTCTCAGTCTTGTTCTTTTCATTTGTATAAATGAGAAATAATACTGTCTATCTTTATAGCATGGATATGATAGAAGCATGTAAATGTACCTAGTATGGTATCAGGCAGATAGTCAGTGCTCATTTAAGAAAAATGGTTGTTGCAGTTGTTGTTAAGGTTATTAAGGTATTTTAGCAGTGGTAAATAACCAGTAAGAAAAGACAGTCACTATTACTGAGATGACGTATTTAATAGGTATAACATCTTTGTTAATTATGTCTGAAACCAGTTAAAGTGTCCTGATTTCAGATAATCTTTGATGTTTGCTCACCCAGGGAATTTCAGGCACCAGAGCAGACTTTTTTTTTTTTTTTTTGACTACTAAGATAACAGAACATAAGATAATTGAAGAGTTTTGGAAAGTAGGTTGGGGTAGGAAGCAGTGAGTTTTGTGATCTCACTAGCTAACAGAATTGTTGTTTGGTTTATTACTATAAGAGTTATATTTCTCATGTCTTTCTGTTTGCTTTTCATTCTCCAGGTAAGGAGTCCAATTCCACATTCTACATTACCATGTTACTCATCATTCCAGTCATCGTTGCAGGTGCAATCATAGTTCTTCTTCTTTACCTGAAAAGGTAAGGCAGCTGCCCAGGCAGGTTCCCTGGTTTCTGCTAGCCTGGTTGTTATGGTTATTACCCTTCATGCTGATGTTTTATGTTTGTCCAGTGTATTGGAAGCATTTTGGCCATAAGTGGCTTTTGATAGTATGACATGGCAAAGAAGTAATATTGTGCCAATTTTCTGGTGAGAAAAATGTTAGATTAGTTTCTCAGACCTCTGCTCAAGCACTGCTTCCTTTGTATGTGTTTAGGATTGTTGAATAGGCCCTATGTTCACATTACTCTTTTAAATGCCTAATTTATCAAATTAGTCTATAGCTCTTGAAATGAAGTTTTAGAAATAGAGACCGTTACTAATGAAATGACTTGTCTAGTATTGATACAAAGCAGGCTGTTGCTTAACACTGTAGTAAAGAGATCTCCACCAAGTTGCCACTGATATGTGATGCTCATTTCTTGAGAATGTTTTATTTTTTTCTATCTCAATATAGGAACTGTTACTTGTTCTTGCAGTAAATACCTAAGTTGAACTAAGCTGTGTCCCAAACCAATTCCTTATCATTATTTCAGTATTCATTTAACATACCTATATTGAGTGCTTATTTATGTGCCAGGCACTGTTCTAAGTGCTGGAGTTACAGCAGTTAACAGGACAAGGTCCCTATCTACATTCTAGTGGGGGGCATATGTGGGAGGACTCCAGAAAACCTGAAATCTATTTATAAAAAATTGCAGATGTATTCTTACATGTTTAAACTTCAGTCATCTTCAAAGTACTCTCCGTTTGATGCAATACACCTATTGGGACGCTTTTTCCACTACTCAAAACAGTTTTTGAACTCATCCATTTTGATGCCTTTTAGTGCTTCTGCCGTTTTTTGATTCATCTCTTTCACATCAAGAAAATGTTTCCCTTTGGGGATTTTTTTTCTTCCAGGGAAACAAAGAAATGGCTCTTGGGTTGGTAGATGAATAGGGAAGGTGGGGCATGGGAGTCATGCCATTTTCGGTCAAAAGCTGATGAACACTCAGTGTGGTGTGGGCAGGTACGTTGTCATAGTGGAAGAGCCAGTCACCTGTTTACCACAACTTGGGATGTTTCTCCTGCTAATTGTGACACAACTTTCTCAAAACTTTCAGGTGAAAATTTTGGTTGACTGATATGCAGGAACAAATTCTGAGTGTACTGCAAGGGACCTGCCCTCCAAAAGATAATTCTGGTTTTTTTTTTGGTGGGGGGGGGTCCCCCGTATGTGTGTGTGTGTGTATTCACACATGTACATACACACATAAATACTATGATTTCACATAGTGAGAAGTGAAGTTAGCAGTGAGAGGGTGCTAGGAAGTGATAGGAGACACATTTTACAAGAGTCCAAGAAGAGACTCAAATAAGGTAAGGGAGTGAGCCACTCAGATATTTGAAGAAAGAGCATTCCAAGCCAAGGGAACAGCAAGTGCAAAGGCCCTGAGGCTGGAATGAGCTTGGTGTATCTGGTTGAACTAGAGCATGCAAAAGGGAAAAGTGGCAGGAGATAAGGCTGGAGAGGCTGGCCAACCAGATCACACAGGTCATGGCAAAGAATGGATATTTTATTCTAAGCAAGATGTGGAACACTGGAGAGTTTGAAGCAGGGAAGGGACGTGATCTGATTTACTATCATAAAAGATCATTGTAGTTGCTCTGAATGATGACTTGACTTGAGCAAGAATGGAAGCAGGTAGACTAGTTGGGAGTCATTGTAGTATTTTGGAAGAAAGATGAGGGTCACCTCTGTTGGGGTTTAGCAATAGGGGTAGTAAGAAGAGGTCAGAAATAGGATATATTTTGAAAGTAGAATTGTTAACACTTGTTGATAGCTGCTTGTCTGTGGACGGATGAGAGAAAGTTAGGATTCAAGGATACCTCTTAGATTTTTGGCTCGAGCAACTGAGTGAATGCTGGTGCTATTTATTTACTGAGACAGAGAAGATTGTGAGGAAGGATAGGTTTTGCACATGTTGAGTCTGAGATGCCTATTCTATATCCAAGTAGAGATTTCAAATGGCAATTGTATGCATGAATCTGGAGTTTGAGGCAGAGGTATAGGCTGGAGATCTAATTTTAGCAATCTTCGGCACATAAATGGATTTAAAGCCCAAGATCAAAGGAAGCACTCATAAAGTGAGTGAGATAGAGAAGAAGAACAAACCAAACTCTGGCGCACACCCATGGGCACACTCTGGGAGATGGGGCAGGCCCACCCAAGAGTATCATAAGATTCAAAAATGAAGAGGAGAGAGATAAGAACAGAGACAAATTAAAGAGGAATGTACCCTATTCTCAAAAGATTACTATTACTTTTGAACCTTGTACACAGCCAACAACCATCTGTTCAATTAAAAGTACAGCAAATTATTATTTAAATGATAGAGTAGAAGTAATTTGCTTATCCTGATGACCCCTTTGCTCCATCTTTAGGCAAGAATGGAACTTGATGCCCTTAGAGCAATGATTTTCCCATAATCTGCTTTAGAAATTTCTCCGCAGCTGCCTTGTCACTAAAGATGACTTGTATACCACGTCTTTTGCCCATGTCTTCTCTTAATATGGTTGTATTTAGATGGGATGGTTGTATTTAGATGGGATGCTACTATGGACTGAAAGTTTGATCCAAAATGTCTCTGTTTTCTTGTTTTTAAATTAGTTTTTTTATTTCAATAGCTTTGGGGGTTACAAATAGTTTTTGGTCTAGGCTTTAAGTGTACCTACCACTCCCAACTGTACACATTGTACTTGATAGATGATCTTTTGTCTCTTCACCCTTTCCTCCTTCCCCTTCTGAGTCTCCAGTGTCCATTACCCCATTCTCTATTCCTTGCAGATCCTTAGTTTAGCTCCCCATGGAGAACATGCAGTGTTTGGTCTTCTGTTCCTGAATTAGTTCACTCAGAACGATGTTCTCCAATTTCATCCAAATTGCTGCAGAAGACATTATTTCGTTATTTGGATAGCTTAATAGTATTCCATAGTGTATATATACCACATTTTAATTACTCACTGATCAGGTGATGGGCACTTAGGTTGATGCCACATCTTTGCAATTGTGAATTGTGCTGCCATGAACATGTGGGTGCAGGTGTCTTTTTTGTATAATAACCTGTGTTCTTTTGAGTAGATTCCTAGAAGTGGGATTGCTGGATCAAATGGTAGATCTACTTATAGTCTGAGAAATCGCCATACCACTTTCCATAGAGGTTGTACTAATTTATACTACCACCAACAGTGTATAAGCATTCCCTTTTTTCCACATCCACGCCAGCATCTATTGTTTTTTGATTTTTTTAACAATGGCTATTCTGACTGTTGTAAGGTGGTATCTCATTAGAGTTTTAATTTGCATTTCCCTGATGATGAGTAGTGTCGAGCATTTTAAATATGTTTATTGGCCATTTGTATATCTTATTTTGAGAGATGTCTGTTCATGTCGTTTGCCCACTTTTTAATGGGGTGTTTTGCTTTCTTCTTTCTGACTTGTTCTTTGTAGATTCTTGATATTAGTTCTTTGTCAGATGCATAGTTTTAGAATATCTTCTCCCATTCTGTAGGTTGTCTATTTTCCCTGTAGATTTTTTTTTAACTGTGTAGAAGCTTTTTAGTTTAATTAAGTCTCACTTATTTCTGCTTTAGTTTTTTGGTGTGTTGGCCATAAATCCTTTGCCTAGGCCAATATCCAGAAGAATTCTTCCTAGGTTTTCTTCTAGGATTTTTATGGTTTAGGTCTGACAAAAATGTTTATGTTTTCTTAAAGGCTAAAGATCATTATATTTCCTCCAATTCCTGACCCTGGCAAGATTTTTAAAGAAATGTTTGGAGATCAGAATGATGATACCCTGGTAAGCACTGATTTCATGGGGCTTCAAATTAGGTTGGTTTGTTTTGTTTGTTTGGAGGCTATGGGATTTTTTAAAAATTGTATTAAAATATACATAATATAAAATTTACTGTTTTAACCATTTTTAAGTGTACATCTTAGAGGCATTAAGTGCATGTATAGTGTTGTGTAACCATCACTACTATCTATTTTCAGAACTTTTTCATCATCTCAGATAGAAACTGTGTCTATTCAACAATACCTCTTCATTCCTCCATGGCCCGTGCCCCTGGTAGACTGTATTCTTCTTTCTGTCTCTTCGAATCTGCCTATTCTAAGTACCTTGTATATGTAGGATCATACAATATTTATCCTTTTGTGTCTGGCTTATTTCACTTAGCATAATGTTTTCAAGGTTCATCCATGTTGTGGCAAATATCAGAACTTCATTTTGAAATTGGTTATTTTAAACTACAATTTGTCCAAAGGATTAAAGGAGAACTGATTTCAAATGTTGTATTTCAGGCCAAGCATACCAGCAAAATGTCTCCAGAATACTCTGCCTATCTTGACACTGGGCTACGTTCCCCCTCGAGGTTAAGGAAGATGTTTTATTAAAAAAATGCTTCCTTTATGAAGTTAGCCTAATAGGCAGGCCTTCTGACTCTTGGATAATTTTACAAACTGGATGTGAGGAAATTTAAAGGTAGGATAGGCAATAGCAATGCGTTTTGTCCATGCTATTGCTCGGAAAGCTGGACTCCAAAGACGTGGAAGTAGAGAAGATCGACCCCAACTGTATAGTTGGTTTCCTGCAGGCTCTCATGCTAGAATTTGTAGCTAGAAAACCTAAGACATTATGGGAACAAAAGGGTTTGAGATTTCTGTGATAAATACAACCACTCTAATGAAATAATAAAGACACTAAATGAAATAAATATCAATATCATTGTATATGTCTTACATTAGTAACAACAGGCATAGAGCAGTTAATTTAGGGAAGTAATGCAGCACAGTAGATAATAGCATGAGCTCTGGAGTCAGATTGTCTGGATTCAAATATCTGCTGTGTCATTTGCCATCTTTTTGACCTTGGGTAACTTGTTGGCCCCTCTGTGACTTAGTTTTCCCATCTGTAAGGTGGAGGTAAGGATAACATCTGCCTTATAGTGCAGTTACATGGATTGAATTAATTTAATATGCAACAGTTAGTTTAATAGAAACTGCTTAGCATGTCTGGCACATTGTAAGTGCTTAACAAGTGTCAGTGCTTACTATTACTATTGATAATAATTAAAACATGTTTAATCCCCAAATAATTCTTGTAATAATGAGTGACTTGCAATGGCAGTAATGATATTTGGTTAGGGAAGGAAGGCAGGGAGTCTGACATGCTATCAGAGGAGGATTATTTGGATCTTTTTTTTTTACCAAGTTATCTGCACAGACAGTGGGTAACTCTGCCAGACTCTGGATTAGGGCAACACTAGGCAGGTAGGTCCAGATGTCAGGTGCCTGATGAGAGTGTACATTGTAACTGAGGCGAATATAGCAACTAGTGGTTCTTCAACTTTAGTTATGGTCAACTGGTGTGTTATCAGAAATATCAATTCCAGGGCCCTACCCCCACGAATCCTGATTTGGCAGGTCTGGGGCAAGTTCTAGGAATCTCATGTTTAACAAGAGCCCACAGGTGATTTCTATCCTGGTAAGATAGACTGTGGACTGCATTTTGAAAATAACTCATATAGATCTTTTCCTTAGAATGGCCCCTGTCCCTTTCTTCATTTCACCAGCTTTGGTAGATGCTAGAGGTTGGAAATTGTGCAAGTACTCTTAACAATTTTGACCAGTTATTGAAAGTCTACTTCAATAGACAGTATATTAAGTGCTTTGCTTATATTGCCTTATTGAATCTTCATAACCACCCTGTGGAGTAGGTGCTGTTAGTACCATTTTATGGTTGAAGACATGGCACCTCAGTGAGGTTAAGTAACTTTGCTGCAGTCACACAGCTAATTGTTGGGAAGGTAGGATTTGACCTGGGACTGTCTGATGCCAGAGTTATCTCACTCTTTCTATGGTGCTGCATTGCCCCTTGTAAGATAGAATACTTGTCCTCAAGAACTTCACCATCTTCTTAGAGGTCTGTATGACAGAAGTAGAGGGTTGGGATAGGGGATTTCTAAGAAAAAGATTTGGGGTCACACTATGAGTAGCTCTAAATGGGAAGGTATTAGGAATAATTTGACAATAATCTGGAAAGCATGAATTGGAGAGAGGAGGCACTAGCATGGTGGCAAACCGGAGACCTGAATTTGCCCCATTAAATATTTTGTTTGGCCACTGTGATGTATTTAAAATCTTTCCATTTGAAATCATAGGTAGGGTGCACTCTCCAATTCATCTCAGGCCCTAGCATTCCCACTTCCCACTGTGGTTTCACACATTGATCTAAATGCCAGAGCCCTGGAAGGCATTTGAGCTTGCCACCCCTCTCAGCAAAATAGAGACTAGTTAAAATGCCATGGCTCAAATACCCGATATCTGTGTACATGTTTGGACTTGCTAATATAGACAAGACATGCTGACCAAAACATTGATGAGATACAAGTTTCCAGCCTAATAGATTTCTAAAAAGTGATAATATCCAGAGTTTAACAAGTGTTTGGGGACCTGGCACTTTTCATGCACTGCTAGTGGGCCTATAAAATGATATATATGTATATATTATTTCTAGAGTGCAACTTGATCAAATGTGACAAGAATCTTTGAGCCTATAATTATACTTTTAGGAATCAATTTTAAGGAAATAATCCAAAAATGGCACAAGAATAGTCAATGCAGCATTTATTTCTAACATGAAAAATTAGAAGCCAATGAAACATCAACAATCAGTTTGAAAAATAAAAGTTAGATTTTCAAAGGATTTAATGTTATAAAAATACTCATGATATAAGAATAAGAAACAGATCATAAATTTGCAAAAGGAAATGGGTCTGAATGAATGCTCATTTATAGGCAGAGGAATTGTGGGTAACTGTTATTCTTTGTCTACCTTTCTGAAATTTTCAAATTGCCTATAATGAGAATGTATTACTTTAATGATAAAAAATCCTTGTACGAGTTATTATGGGAAAAAGAGAATCAGGTCTGAGAGATAATAGGGACTTGAACTTAGGCAGTAGTAAAGGAGACTGACGTAAGAGCCATTAATGGAAACCAACTCATTATGACTTGTTGATTCTGTGTGGGTGATGACAGGTGGGGAGAGTAAAAAATAATTTCAAGTTTTCAAGTCTGGGTGATAGAGTGAATGATGGTAACATTGACAACAAACTCAGATCAATTATCTTTCTCAGAGATGGGAAAATTGCTTTTTTTCAATTTGCTATCTGGAGGATAATATGTTGTTTTTGTCCTGATGAGTCAGATAATTCTGCAATTTGGTGAGGCAGAAATACTGACAAGATGGACCACTAAAAGCACAAGGTGTGTTTTTGTTTTGGCGGTTGCAGACCTTTAAGCAAAATCAGTTCTTTAAAACTAAAAGTATAATAAAAATGCCAGACATGGGAAAGGGTAGAAAAAAAAACACCCCAATTTTTATGTCTGCTTTTAACCAAAGGAATAATCCACTTTTTTTTTTAACATAATAGCAATTCTCACATACTGAATTGCATATGCAGCGGAAAGACTAATCTTTTACTTACAGAATTATTGAATTATAGAATGAACATAGGCCTAGAGATCATCTGATGTGGTGGATATTTACATGTTTAACTATTTCTCTTTAATTATAAATTTACAAAACTCTGCATTCTCATCCAGTCCTCTCGCTTTAGAGATGGAGTCATTAGGGGCCACAGAGAAGTTTCTCAAGGACTGTCACATAGAGAGGTAACTGTAAAACCTGAACTAGAACCCATGTAGCCCAAAGTTACCAACTTCTAATCCAAAGACATAATCCATATTCTTTTTCAACACTCTCTTCCACACTGCACCATTAATAATGGTTCTTTAAAAAGGTTATTTAGATATGGCCAAAAATCAATGAAATCTTCAGTATAGTTTTCCTGAAGGGTTCCAGTGTTTTAAAGATATTTTGTTCATCACTGTAGTAACATTTTGGCCAACAGCATTTCTTTCTGTTGCTTTACTGTTTGCCTCATCCCTGTGACTAATTGGGCTGCTGGCCATATGGCAGGGGGAGTTGCAGCGGGGATTGCTTCTCCTCTGTATCTACATTTTTTTTATCCATAAAAAATTATTCTTCCCTCCCTTCTTGGAAACCAATTCTATTCTCAGCATTTTGCGAGTTTTACATTCCTGATCAGAAAGCAGCCTATTTTTTTATGCATGTATGTGTATATGTATGTATGTATGTATGTATGTATGTATGTCGAGGTCTCACTCTATCACCTAGGCTGGAGTACCATGGCATGATCATGGCTCACTGCAGCCTCGACCTCCTGGGCTCAAACAATCCTCCTGCCTCAGCCTTCTGAGTAGCCGGGACCACAGGCACGTGCCACCACACCCAGCAATTTTTTTTTTTTTATTTTTTGTAAAAATGGAGGTCTCACTATGTTGTCTCGGCTAGTCTTGAACTCCTGGACTCAAGCAATCCTCCTACCTCAGTCTCTCAAAGTGCTGGGATTACAGGCATGAGCCACAGCAACTGTCCAGAATGCTTTCCTATATAGCGAACAAAGCATTACTATACTTTAAAAATTATTAATTCTTTAATATCATCTAATACTCATATTCAAATTTTTTCAACAGTCCCAATTGTCAGGAGACAGATATTATCCAGTTGTCCCATCATTAGTGAGGCTGAGATTGACCACTGTATTTAAGGTGATAACATCATGTCCCCTTCTGCCATGTAAGCACTCCTTGCTACCACACAGATATTATGTGTGGTGTTTTATTAGCATCCTGTCAACTCTCAGCGAGTGCTTTTTGCGTCACTTGATATCCTTGCTTGAATCAATAATTTCCTTAGGAGATGAAAATTATGATTTTTCTCTTTCTATCATTTCATCTACATTTATAAGCTGGTTCTTTTCTATAAAGCACTGTTTCTAGTTATCAACTGAGCTCTTTGGTTGTTCTAAAATTCAGTTCCTGCTGAAAAGGCAAAAATGCATATTTAATTCTTTTTCTTTTTCAATTTTTAAAGTGAGGAGTTGGATTAATACCCTTTAGATGCTACCAAATTGGTTCTCTCCACATCACATTCAACTTGTTCTTTTTAAAGCTGCAGTGATGTTTAAGGCATGTGGATCTACAATTCATATTGCACAACTTTCTGTTTTGAATATTGATCTGAAGAGGACTGGGGTGTAAAATAGGTGGACTTGTATACAAAAGACTGGTATTTCTGTGTGAGACTTAGGAGCATGAAACCCACTTCAATTCTATTAACAATTTCATAGAAATAACTTGACTAAAGCTTGAAAGTAATCTTAAATTGAGACTTGATATTTCATTATACTACTAATTTGTTTATTTATTTAAAACATAAAAGCCTTATGTAACATGCTGTTTTTCTAGGCTCGAATGACTAACAACTAAAAGTCAGTTATGCTAGCCTCCTAAACACTGATTTTTTTCATCTATGATGTGTTTCATCTTTGGCCATTATAACATTGTTGATTACCTTGTTTACAAAATTGGCAATCAGGATTGAATTATGAACTGACAATTTTGCAGATTTATTTATTTATTCCTATAAGTGATTTTAAAATTAGACTGCAGATAATAACAAAATTGAATAATAGGTCAAAGCCATTGCTTTTACCTTACATGGGTATATCCATAGCAACAGAGCTCGGGAAAAGGCCATGATTCTGATAAAGGGTGAAAATGAGAGTAATTCAAGTTTTAGGAATGAAAAAAGACAATCAGAAAGATTCATTTATTCTAAGAAGCCATTTCTTTTGAAGTGTTCACCTCATTTTTTAAAATTGCTTTTTTCTTGTCCAACACAGCTAAGTGGTAGGTCCAATGACTAGAAACCAACAAAAGTTTAATTTTCTGGATGCATTTTTTAAATTAAAATATTTTTCTTTTAAAAGCAATATGTATATTATTGTAGAAAATTGTGACTAGAGATAATCAAAAGAGAAAAATAAAATTGTTCTTAATCCTATCATCACCCAGACATGACTCCTTAATTCTATGTGAGTGAGCAGTATAGAGAAACATACATTTTTATTGTTAAATAGAATAATAGCAACAAAAGCAATAATAATAGTTCATACTTACTGAACCTTTATTATTTGCCAGACACTTTTGTAAGCACTTCCCTTATTAATCTGTATCCATCCTGAGGTAGGTATGTATCATCTCAGTGATACAGATGAAGAAGATGAGACACCAGAGGAATTATATGTAGCTTACTCAAGGTTATACTGCTAGTATGTAGCAGAACTAGGATTCAGACTTAACTAACAAATGGCAGATTGGGACCTGAACCCAGGCATCCTGATTCTCCAGTCCATATAAATAAATAAATATATATATATATATATTTTTTTTTTAGAGACAGGATATTTCTCTGTTGCCTACACTGAAGGGCAGTGACAACATTATAGTTTACTGCAGCCTTTCTGGGCTTACGCGATCCTCTTGCCTCAGCCCCTTGAAGCAGCTTGGACTACAGGCACATGCCACCACACCTGGATGATTTTTAAAAATTTTTTTGTAGAGATGAGGTCTTGCTACGTTGCCCAGGCTGGTCTCAAACTCCTGGCCTCAAGTCATCCTCCCACCTCAGCCTTCTAAAGCACTGGGATTACTGGTATGAACTACCACATCTGACTGTTTTTTTCCTTTTTAATACAGTCACATCTTCCTTTTTTTATGTGTAGAAAGCCCTTTCCACCTCAGCTTTATGTATTTGTTCTTCTATATATATTTTTAGTACTTACTTGATTTTTTAAAACATTTTGGAATTTAATATGCCGAGAATTTATTCATGTAGGCTATTAGCTAGGATTTAACTTTGTTTTTCAAATGCTTCCATGTGTATTGCCATTTGTCTTAATGCCATTTATTGAATAAGCCATTTTTCAAGGTTATATAATTTTTTAGACTTTTATACTGGAAGTCTACATTTCACATTTTAAAATAAAGTTTGCTGAGGTGTGATTTACAATAAGATTTAATTTTTTCAGTGTTCAATTAAAATAATTTTAGCAAATATATGCAACTTTGTAGCCACCATTCCAATCAAAATATAGAATATTTCCATCATCCCCTCAAAGTTCTGTCATGCCCTTTGAAAACAACCTTCTCTCTTGACACTAGATCCCTGCAAACACTGATCTGTTCTCTGTTTCTAAAGTTTTACCTTCCAGAATGTCCTATAAATGGAATCATACAGTATTTAGCCTTTTGAGTCTGGCTTTTTTCACTTAGCACAATGCATTTATGACACATCCATGCATGTTGCATGTGTCAATAGTTCATTTCATTTTATTGGTGAGCAGTTATCCATGATATGGCTATACCACAGTTTATTTAACCATTTACTTGTTCAAAGACATCAGAGTTGTGTCCAGCTTTTTGGCCATTATTAGTAAAGATGCTGTAAACATTCATACAGAGGTCTTTGTGTGACATTTTTTCACTTCTTTTGGGTAAATATCTGGGAGTGGGGTTTCTAGGTCATCTAATAAGTGTATGTTTTGTTTTATAAGAAACTGTCAGATTGTTTTTCATAGTGACTGCACTATTTTACATTTCCACCAACAATATGTAAGATATCCAGTTTCTCTGCATCCTTATCAGGACTTGAAATTGGTAGTATTTTTCATTTTAGCCACATTACTGGGCGTGTCAGGGTTAAATAACTTATTGAGAATAATTTGGATATTTTAAGCAATATTTCCCAACTCATCCTCCATATATTCTCTAAGGCTGGATGTTCCTAACTTGCTCAGCCTCCCTTTAATTGCATAACCTGAGGCCACTGAATAGTCACTGTTTTTTTCTTAAGTTTCTGTATTTCTTCTTTCGTTTCTTTTCCTAAAAATATCAGAGCAGAAAAGGAGCTTCTGTGTAATCTGGTGCAGGATTTGGCAGACTTTTTCTGTAAAGGACCAGATAGTAAATATTTCTGTTTTTGCAAGCCACTCATTCAGACTCTGTTGCAACTCCACTTTGCCATTAGAACATGAATGCAAGCATAGACAATACAGAAAAAAATAGGTGTGAACCAATAAAACTGTTTTTACACAAATAGTCACCTAGCCACATTTGGCCTGTGGACCATAGTTTGCTGACCTCTGGTTTAGTCTAACAACTTTATTTTACAGATAAGAGGACTGAGCTCAGGTTTCACCCTTTCCCCTGGTTTACAAGTAAAGAAGGCAAGAACTAGGGTACTGACTTTCACCATAAGCAACAGGCTTGAGTTGAGTTCAAGATAAGTTTGTCTTATGCATAATTCCCTGTTCTAGCAAATGATGTTAGATGAAGCTGTTAATACAGGGGCTTTCAACGATTTTAGCTGCACTTTGGGGGGACATCTTATATATTGCCATTCATCTAGACGTAACTTGATTTTTGAATTATATCTCTGGAGTAATGGTAAAACTTGAGTGATAAGAAAATAAAGGTGATAAAGGTCCAACTAGAGTGGTTGAAGAAAAGCATGCCACCCTTTTATTCTCCTTCAAAAGACTTTGGTTCCAATTTTGGGAATGTCCAAATTTGTTTATCTTTTGAGATAACCATTTTACATCATGTAATAATTCTATGCTTTTCCTCTCTTTAATGTTAATTCCTGATTGTTTTGTTTCATGAATTGTTCAAATAAATAAAGATTCTTAGGTCAAAAAACAAACAAACAGGAAAACATGCACTTATAGTTCCATGCACGCAAACCTAAAAATAAACATTGGCTGTGAGTACTCAGGGAAAGAACACTGTTTTGAAAAGTCATTGTGTATGTGTTTTTTCCTCCCTTCCAGCACTGGAAGAGGTACGACATCTGTGAGAAGCAAACTAAGGAAGAAACTGACTCTGTAGTGCTGATAGAAAGCCTGAAGAAAGCCTCTCAGTGATGGGGATAATTTATTTTTACCTTCAATGTGACCTTGTGAAGATTCTCCCATTCTCCATTTGTTATCTGGGGACTTGTGAAATGGAAACTGAAACCACTGGACCATTTAAAAACAGGCAGCTCCCAAGAGCCACAGGTCTTATGTTGAATTATGCACCAAAAAACTGTAAATAATGGGTCTTTTAGAGAAGAGAGTGGAGTCATTCTCATTGAATTATAAAAGCAGACATCCTTTGCAAAGGCTTCAAACTAGGGGACAAAGCGAAAAGTGACGATGGCAATAGAGTTAATCTTATCAAGAGTTGTGACAACTTCTTGAAGGACCTATGCTTGCTTTGTATTCTTTGTGTCAACACCAACACATTTTATCTGTAGGGGAATTCATTTTTAGTGCAGATTCTAATGTCAAACTTGAGTCACAAAGAACATCTAGCAAACAAAGTTGATAAAATTTGGTATCTATTGTTTGGGATCTCTATTGTTTGTGACTATTAAAACTCTTAACAGTCCTGAATTATCATTCCCTTCAAAGGCATTTTTCTCTGCTTTGAAAGCCCAGAGATTGGTATGATGACAGCTACAGAACAGCTGTCATCATACCAATTGGTAGAGGTAGCATCTTGGTCAAGAGCTTTCAAAGGTATTGCAAGCTCTTAAGGGCAGTGGAAGCAGAGTGGCTTATTGGGTATTAGCGTTTGAGCCACGAAGTTTCTAATGAGGTCTTATCTTCACCTCTGCTATTCAAATCAAGTATTTCTTATGTGTCTGGCTTGCGCTAGGCCCCAGGTGTGAAATGCAGACCCCTTCCAAGGGTTTCCAACCTAGTGGGGACTCCTCAGTTCTTACCATGTTCTTGATCTCCCTCAGTCATCACTCAGCCCTTGTGACTCCTCACCTCCCACACCCATTTCCCCTTTGGCATCTCCCTCATTCCCTTGTGTGTGGCCTTCTGCCTTTCATTGGAAATGAGTGTATCCATCTGCCCAGGACACCTAGAGGAGCAGAGGAGTAATTTATGTCTCAAAATGTGAGTAGACTGAGAAATAATGACTATCTTCGCATATTTTGTACTTTCTGTGTGAATCTGCAATTGTTGGAGGGTTCTCAGCATTTGACATTTACGCATCTTCTAAACAGAAATGAGGTGTTATCGTCACTTAAAACTGCTATTTGCTTGAGAAAAAAATTGTATCATTTTCTCTTTAAAATGCGTCCTAGGATTTCTCTTTTTCTTGCCACAAATGGTTAATTAAGTCGGTGTTGTGACTTACATTGATGGGCAGTCATCCAAGGCACCGCTTATGCTTTTTTTTTGGGGGGGGCATATGTTAGAGTTCCATTCACAACATATCCATATATTTTCCTTGTACTACTACTTCCCCAAATGTATAGAAGTATGAGAAGTGGGAGGTCTCTCTCCCCAACCCCCACCTCATTTATCTCCTTACACACAGACTCAGATTACTGGTCAGAACTTGAGAACATTTTTTTTTCTTGAGTCGGGGTCTCACTCTGTCACTCAGGCTGGAATGCAGTGGCATTGTTGCCTGTGACTGAATCATTTTAAACATTCCCTTTGATGGGGGAAGGTCATTAAGATGATTGGGTGGTAGTCTGCTCTACGTCATCCAAAATTTGGATGACAGCAGCCTCCACCTCCTGGGCTCAAGTGATCCTCCTGCCTCAGCCTCCCACAAAACTGGGACTACAGGCATACACCACCATACCCAGTTATTTTTTTGTATTGTAGAGACAGGGTCTTGCTATGTTGCCCAGGCTGGTCTTCAACTTCTGGGCTCAAGCAATCCTCCCACTTCGGCCTCCCAGAGTGCTAGGATTATAGGCATGAACCACCATGCCCAGCAGAACTTGAGAACTTTTTATCACAAGTTTTCTAAACATTTACCAAGCAAATTAATAAGATGATGCTACTTGCAATTCCTGCTCTTAGGGGAGGGGAGATAAGAAACCTCTAACCTCTACAGGCTTGGACAAAAGTGGCAACCCACCTCCTCAGCCACAGGGAAGTACTGTGCCCCAGCTTCTCTGAAGAAATTGGGGTTCGTGGCAAGGGGAGATGTAAAGGTGTTTCCTTCCTGCGTTTTCATTTTTGAGGTCAGATTGAGGCTGGAAGACAGGCATAGTGGATGCTCCACTTTGTTCTACTGTTTTCCAGAAAGAATGTTTGGTTTTCCTGTGTAAGAATAAGATCTATTCCTTTCCAGGTCTTTTGTAAATCTGGGAAGCAAAACACATGCCTCACTAAAAGCCATCTTGCCTGTTATTCTATCTTGATGGCAACAAGGAGGATGCTGTGAAATTCCCAGGGAACACTCATGTTTACAGTCATGCAGCCTGGGAGTGGGGAAATGGTATTTTGTTCCCATCCTCCTCTTTTTAGTAGTAAAATGGCTGAAGTAGCTATGGTTGTTTTACAATCGCTGAAAAGTGCCCCCCGGGGCTTGGGATCTCTTGCAGCTTCAGTCATCAGTGGGATTCCCATCACCTGTAGGAAATGAGTAGGTTCATTCACTATTCTAGGTCTAACCTCTATGGATTTTCCCCCATATACCTAAGTAAACCCACTGTAAAGCTGGTCATTCTTATGCTTTCATTCAGATAAGTTTCTTCTTCTTCTAGGCACTGAAGGGATACATGAAACAATGTTAACATTTTTGGTAATGTCTTCAACCAGGGATTTTTGTTGTTGTTGTTTAACTTCTTATAGGAAAGCTTGAGTAAAATAAATATTAATTGTTTTGTTGTTGTTGTTGTATGTAACCAAAATATTTTCCTTTAGTCTTATTTTGGGGAAACTGTTGCGAGGGGTGGGTGGCAGAGAAAGTGGGAATTAAAAGAATAAACATTGTGAAAAAAATTCCAAGGTAGTTATTTTATCTTATGATCATTTATCATCAACTTCCCTTGCTGTTTTGGTGTGCCTGTGTTTTCTGATAAGAGCATTGAAAGGAGGTACCTATAGAAACCTAGAAGAAACATAGGTTATTCTTAGTTTAGTCTTTTTGCCTCAGCATAACCATTAGAAAGCATCTAGACATTCTACTGCAGGCCAAGAGGAAGCCTATCCCACCCTCTCAGCAAATCTCCATCAGGAGCAAGACAGGACAGAGCCATAAAAATAATAGACCAGCTTTTTTCTTTTTTCTTTTTTTTGAGTCGGAGTCTCACTCTGTTGCCCAGACTGGAGTGCAGTGGCCGCTCCCAGCCACTGCAGCCTCAACCAGCTGGGCTCCAGCGATCCTTCTGCCTCAACCTTCCAAGTAGCTGGAATTCCAGGCACGCGCTACCATGCCCGGCTAATTTTTTGATTTATTGTAGAGATGAGGTTTCATCAAGTTGCCCAGGCGGGTCTCAAACCCTCAGGCTCAGGCAATTCACTCACCTCAGCCTTCCAAAGCGTGGGATTACAGGCTGAGTCACTGAGCCCGGCCTAGACCAGCTTTTTGGTCAAGGAGTTTGTGAATTGCAAATGTCTAACAAATCTCTTGCAGGAAAAAACCCTCCAGACCCAAACCCCCAAGTTAACCTAATCAGCCCTTTGTGACCTATGGGACACAGACCCCATCATGGCAGCAATCCACTAACTAACCCACCCATCTGCCTGCTGTCCATCACCTGACATCAGTACCTGCACTTACCTGCCCCTTCGTGATGATTTACCTGCCCCTTCGTGATGACGTGGAGCAGACTACCACCCAATCACCTTAATGACCTTCCCCTATCAAAGGGAATGGTTAAAATGACTCAATCACAGGCAACAAGTGGCCATGTGCTCTTTGAGCTGTGGTTGTTGCCATGCTTCCTGACTTTAGTCCCTTCCCCCACCTTGGGGAGGTGAATCTTCTTTTTCTCTCTCTAATTTACTTTAAATAAACTATATTTTCTAATCTAATTTCTGTACAATTCTTTGCATCTTTCATGCGGCATTAACTTGCACCCCAGACACCCACACCCCCAGCAGGCCTGACCTAACAGGCATGAATGCAGTCAGTTTAATATTAACACTGACCAGGTGTAGTGGCTCACACCTGTAATCCCAGCACTTTGGAAGGTCAAGGTGAAAGGATTTCTTGAGCCCAGCAGTTCAAGACCAGCCTGGGCAACCACAGCAAGACCTCATCTTCACAAAAAATAAAAATAAAAGTAAAAAAATTAGCCTGGCATGGTGGCTCATGCCTGTGTCTGTTACTTGGGAGGCTGAAGTGGGAGGATCACCCAAGCCCAGCAGTTCAAGGCTGTGGTGAGCTGTGATTGTGCCAATACACTCCATCCTGGGTGACAGTGAGACCCCCAACTCAAAACAAACAACAAACAAAAAAAATTATCACATATTTTATAAGCAGCAACTAAAGGTACTTAAGTATTGGACAAATTGTAGTCGTGATAATTGATGGAAACAGAGAGCTGGCCCTTCCTGATATTAAGCTAAAATGGAATATAATATGTTTCCTGTCATGGTATACATGACTGTAATGCTGTACATAACTGGGAACTTCTAGTCATGAGGTAATCAATTAGCAGGTTAGGTTTGATACTAAGAAAATCAGTTTTCAATAGCTGTCCTTTTTTTTGAGTCAGGGTCTCACTCTGTGGCTCAGGCTGGAGTACAGTGGCACAATCACGGCTCACCACAGCCTCCAGCTCCTGGGCTCAAGCAATCCTCCCTCTCCAGTGTCCTGAGTAGCTGGTACTACAGTTGCATGCCACCATGCCTGGCTATTTTATTTATTTATTTATTTTGTAGAGATGAGGTCTTGTTATGTCGTCCAGACTGTTTTCGACTCCTGGGCTCAGGTGATCTTTCCACCTTGGACTTCCAAAGTGCTGGGATTACAGGTGTAATCATGCCACCATGCCAGTCAATAGCTGTCCTCCTAAGAGATGGTGATATAGTTTCACATCTTCTATAACTATGACAAAATGGTTGAATGTCACAGAGGATTTTTTCCTTGTTTGTGTTAAGTCCTAGGAGTATGTCTTTAGCCAGACCACATTTGCTAGTTACCCTGAATCTTTATAGGTTTCAAATCAGATGATTTCTGTAACTATTTAGAATTGTCCGGGAAGATTTTAGAAATCCATGGCCAGGGAAGTATAGTTGTTTTGGTGTTGTTATTTTAAAATAAGAAACTTTTTTCTGATTCTTAACACATCAACACTGCGTATTATAACAGAAAACATTCAACTGAGGACACTTGAGGTTATAATTCCGTATGAGATCTATGAAAAACAAATCTTGTAGCTATAAACATATTCACCTCATCTCAGGGGGAGAGGGGCCAGAATGATCTAAGCGCATTTGCTTTCCAGAGAAATTTACCATTTTATCATTTCCATGAACTCCTGTTCTTCTAAAAGTACAACCTATGTTCACACATATAGCATATTATGCTAGTGGGATATTAGTAGTTTTAAAAGAATGCAAGGGAACAGGAACATTTATTTCAGGACTCTATTTTCTTTTATACCTAGTAATTAGGTCAAGCAA